CACACACACACACACACACACACACACACACAAAGACAAATAGACAAACACGAACACACACACACATCCTTCCTCTCTCCAATGGCTCTCCTTCACGTGGGTGCATGCATACGGACACACACACACACACGCAAGGAACACGAACACACATGCAAACACTCACCAAGGTTCGTGACAGATATGTTACCTTCACCCCTCCACATTCCCTCTCTCCCTCTGTCCCCTTGCTGTGATATTTATGTTCATCCCTTGTAGTTGCAACATCAAGATTGTCAGCAGTCGCCAGGAAGCAGCTTGAGGTCGTAGTAAGTTTTCACATCATAAAAGCCACAGCTGATGTCAGCAGGAGTTGGCCAACACAACCTTATCTCCCATTTTTCCCTCCCTCCAGTCGAGAAAGTTGATGCCTCCCATTTTTCCCTCCCTCCGGTGCAGAAAAATTCACACCATCAGAGAGATCGAGTTCACACCAATTTTAGTTGTGAACTCGATCTCTCTGATGGTGTGAACTTTTCTCGATCTCTCTGATTCTGAACTTTTCTCGATCTCTTTTAAAAGCCTGCCTCGCCGCCGACTCTTGCAAAGAAAAACCTACGCTAGAAATTATGTTATTATGCTTATGAAATTTTAGTTACATTCTTCAACTCTTTTAAGTTTTAACTCTCCTGACTGTCGATAGGAAGGAGACTCCTCCCCACCACCTCACCCAAAACCATGAGCTAGATGCTCGCACAACAGAGATTCGGAGATTCCCTTTTATCTCATCTCATCACTCCTGAAGCGAAAATCTCGGCACACTGCGGGCCGCACTGTGTCTGTGCAGGGCCGCATGGAATAGCCGCACGTTCAAATACAAGTGCATCTATGTATCCCCCCGACCGCCGGTCACCAGGGTCGTGGTCGGCGGTCAAAACCGGCAGACCCCGGTCATGAAAACAAAACAAAAAAAAATATATATATATTTTCCTGAAAAATCTGAAAAACAATATATGTTATGTGAACTTATGCCAAAAAATAAGCTGAACAACTTTTGCCTCAAGGGCATATCAAAGATCCTTACCAAATTTGAGAAAAAAAAAAAAAAAACAATTCCTAAGTTTTTCTTACTAAATGTATAAACTGACGAACTTTTGCCTGAGGGGTTCTGTTTTTCATTAAAAAAAAAAAAAAACTAAAATTATAAGGTTGTAGAGCGCACAAAAACCTACAACCCTGTAAATATACATTTTTTGCCTTTTTTTTTTTAAATAATTCAAATTCACGTCCACGCCCGACCGCTCGGGCCGACTCCCGTGGTTGCCATCTCGACCACGGGCCGAGATGGACCGGACCCTGCGGTCATGACCGCGGGGGATTCATAGAAGTGCATAGCAGCGGCAGGCCAGTGGTATGTCTTTGTTTCCCATTAAAAAAAAAAAAAAATGTCTTTGTTTTGTTTCTTTCTTTTTGTCGTTTTCTGACACATTATGTTTGTCTCTTTCTGAGGCCGTCGCAATCGAACATGCACTTTCTGCTTGGTGCCAGTCCTCCGCACACATTTTTCTTGCACACAGAGAGAGAGAGAGAGAGAGAGAGAGAGAGAGAGAGAGAGAGCAGTCCTCCGCACACATTTTTCTTGCACAGAGAGAGAGAGAGAGAGA